GCATGTCAGATACTATAGCGCATTTGAATGATTTGACAAGAAACTGACACAGAGGTCAAATCAAAAACAAATTTTGTACCCATTTAGACGGAAGTGACAAACTGCAGGATTTGGATGTTTGAATGCAAATTTTGTCACTGTTTTGGAGCACACTAGCTTACTATTGTCCTTAAAACTACCATACTAACATCTAACTTTCTCTTAATTTCGTTCAACCTTTAACTTGTGGTTTTCAAATAAGCCAGAATGACTTGATTAGCTGGATCTGGTGTGTTTAATTAATGTTTAATCTAACCTCTGCTGGGCTGTGGCCCTCCAGGAACTGAGTTTAACACTCCTCTTCTAAGGTGTGCAATTATTTCAGGGAACCACACAGCTAAATTAGTTCAAGGCAGGTCTTGACCCCATTAAAAGTTGCGTCTCACCATGCTGAAGGATTTAAGTTATTTCACAGCAGCCTACAACTGTCAAAAATTAAATCAAAAGAGAAAGCTTTGGATAAGATGCATATTAAACTAGAACTAGACACATAAGCTGTTTTGAGCAAAAACTTGACAAATTTGTTTGTCTGATCAGTGTCTGGTTTGGTAACCATTGTATAAGCAGAATAATTGACGCTGGTTCTTTGAATCGTTAGAAAATAAAGCATATACTATATGTGATAATGCAAATAATGCATCATATTTTACTAATAATTCAACAGCCCATCACTAATTATACCTTACAACATTTTATATTAATTATAATTTTGCAAATCATCATTTTTTTTAAACCACTATATCTCAAACTTATATGCTTTTTCATGATATTTTGGATGCTGTTGGGGAGTGTATCCTGTCTAAAATAGATTTGAGTCTTTCTGAAGGGATGATCCCAACATATTTGAAAAAGCTGAATGTAAATCTTGGATATATCCAATTTTAGGCTCATTTCTAATTGAACTTGTATTTCTAAAAGCTTAGAGAAAGTTGTTTCAAATCAATTGCTAAGCTATTTAGACTCAAATGGTGTGTTTGACAATTTTTAGTCAGGTTTTAGGAAACATCACAGAACTGAATCTGTCCTGTTAAAAATATAAATAAATAAATAAATACATACATAAAACATAAATAAATAAATAAATACATAAATAAATAAATAAATAAATAAATAAATAAATAAATAAATAAATAATATTATATTTTGCTATCTACTATTAGCTATTGATATTTTGATATTGATAACTGGTTGTATTTTTGCTTCAAGACGTTTGTGCAGCATTTGACGTGGTTGACCAAATTGTTTTTATTTCCCATCTTGAACATTGTGTCCGTTAAGGGTTTGTTCTTAAAATAGTTCAAATCCTATATAAATAATATAACTTTATCAGTTTATGTAAATTGGTGCTCATGACTTGTGGAGCTCCTCTAGGCTCTATCCTTGTCTCATTTTCTTTTCTTTTTTACAGTATATGCTCTAATTGGGTTCCATTGTAAATAAACACAATGTGTCGTTTCACTGTTATTTGAGTGCTTGTCTGTCTAATATTAAGGCTTGTATGTCTATTGATTTTTTAAATCTCAATGAGAGAAAGGCTGAGGCAATTGTATTTGGTCCTTTAGTTGTATATGGCAACACAGCAAGTTCTGGGTGATCTGGTAGCATATCTCAAGCCCTAAAGAAATGTGGATATTATGTTTGACTCTGCTTTGACCTCTGATAAATGGAGTAAATGAAGCAGTTGAATCAAGTTTCGTTAAATCAGACTTCTTGCTAAGATGAAGGGCTTTTTCACCTTTGCTGCAGTTTGAGAGAGTGATTCATCCTTTTATCTCATCTCGACTAGACTACTGCAATTCAGTATGTATTGGTATTAAACAATCATATCTGAATCATCTACAAACATAGCAAAATACAGCTGACTAGCACTCACAAATACAATCATATTTTCCCTGTCCCACTCTCATTGCCTTGGTTGCCAGTACATTTTAAGTTACAATTTTACTTTTCGCTTTTAAGGTTTTAAAGGGCACCTATGGTTAAAAATATACTTTTCAAGCTGTTTGGACAGACTTGTGTGTAGTGTATAGACCGTCATATTAGGGTGATATAAACACACACAGTCCTTTTTTTTTTCAGTTTAACAACATAAAAACGGTCAACCCAAGCTCATTCTGGAAACGTAGCCCCGCGGACGTTTCTGGAGACCGCGATTTACGTGGCCGGAGGTACGTAAAGGCCGCGTTTGGTTTTTTTCGAGCAAACGCTGCGGGGCGGTGTGGTGCCGCTCCGCCCCTCCTCTTTGCGCTCGCCGTCCGACGGCTCGCCTCCAAGTGGAGAGCTTTCCCGATGCAATCAGTTTGTCCGCTTAGCTCACAGCGTTGCGTCGGCGGAGCGGAGGCCCCGGAGGAGGAGGAGGAGCCGGAGCCGGCCGCGGTGGACGACGACCGGGATCGAGTCCGGGGAACAGCAGGTTCCGGAAATCAGGTAAGACGGAAAACGGAAAATAAGGGCGAGAACGCGGCGGGATCCAAAAACGCGATCGAAATCGAAGACGAGGGCTTTTGCTTTTTTTTTTCAATCTGGCGGCTTTTCGCACGAGAACGGTGCGGGCGCAAACGCCGCGCGCTCCCGAGAGGCGCCCGAGACGCGAAAAAGCGCGCACAGCGGCCTCTCGCGGATCCGCGAAAACAAAAAACGCTCGAATACGTACCTCCTAGGACGTAAATCGCGGTCCACAGAAACGTCCGCGGGGCTACGTTTCCACAATGAGCCTGGGTTGAAAACGGTGGACTAATTGGAGCTGTTTTTAGAGCGAAAACCACACTTGGCGTAGGTTTGCAAACGTGTACTTTTCATTGCGTCTACCTAAATTTCAGCTGTTTGCATTTCTCGCGGTCACAGAAGCTCCCTGTGATCTTAACTAGGTGTAGCTGGAAAGTGCGAGCATGTTGCCTCACATGCGCATCTCTCCATTGGATATAAAATAACGAACTTGCCTGCAAGTCGCACACCAGAAGTGCCGCTCTGTGTGGGCGTCGCGCCACGCAGCGCCATGCATTTTAGAATTCTAAACGTAAATGTTCTATCAGGTCGGCTGTCCGCGGCGCCTAGCCTTGATTCAGGTAATACGTAATAGTATCAGAAGTAGCAGATGTTGAGATGTTGTAGTAGTGGTAAATGTTGTTGTAGTAGTATCAGTTGTAGTAGATGTTGTAGTAGTATTAATGGTAGTAGTCATTGTAGTAGTATCAGTATTAGTAGATGCTGTAGTAGCAGGAGTTGTTGTTGGTCTAGTAGTATCAGAAGAAGCAGATGTTGTCGATGTAGATGTTGTAGTAGCGGTAAATGTTGTTGTAGTAGTATCAGTTGTAGTAGATGTTGTATTAGTGTCAATAGTAGTAGTCATTGTAGTAGTATCAGTAATAGTAGATGCTGTAGTAGCAGGAGTTGTTGTTGGTCTAGTAGTATCAGAAGAAGCAGATGTTGTCGATGTAGATGTTGTAGTAGCGGTAAATGTTGTTGTAGTAGTATCAGTTGTAGTGGATGTTGTAGTGTCAATAGTAGTAGTCATTGAAGTAGTATCAGTATTAGTAGATGCTGTAGTAGCAGTAGTTGTCGTTGGTGTAGTAGTATCAGAAGTAGCAGATGTTGTCGATGTAGATGTTGTATTAGTGGTAATGTTGTTGTAGTAGTGTCAATAGTAGTTGTCACTGTAGTAGTATCAGTTGTAGTAGATGTAGTATTGTAGTAGTCGTCAGTGTGGCTGTAGTAGCAGTAGTAGTTGGAACATTAGTAATTTTCTGTAGTAGTAGTAGTTGGTGTAGTATTTGTAATTAATTAATTTTTATTATTATTATTGCTGTTATTATTACTGTTGTCCTTTTCATTATTACTATCATTACATTACTATCATTGTTGTCACTTCTTACCACAGATTGATTAATTTTTTTATCTATTATATATATATAATGCTATTGATTTCATTTAATAACAGTTATACATGTTATTATATATATATATATATATATATATATATATATATATATATATATATATATATGTATGTATGTACTCAGACTATCCACCTACTGCAGGTACCTTTACATGCACGAACACATTGTGTTTTCATGTTTTTGTTGTTGCTTTGTTCTCTTCGTATGTGATCCCATTTTGTGTACTAGCATATTCTAATACAAAAAATAAATAAATAAAAAAGGAAGTATTTGTTTAAAATGAACCAAATTCTTTATGAATGTTAAAAAATCAACATGATGCCACAAACGGCGCTAAGCTTTTGTTAAACTCAGAAATCCTTTAATATGTTCAATTCAAGTATATATCAAAATAATCAAACTTTCTAAATATTCCAAACCATATTGTTTAGCACGACGGTCGACTGTTGTTGTTTTATTGTGCATTACAAATAAAAGTGAAGAAGGTTATGCTTATCTGAAAAAAACCTGCTGTGTATTCTGAGGTTTTAAAAAACTTTTGTTTAAAAAAAATTCCCTTCTAACCAGTTAGGTAACTTCCAATGTGACCGGCAGAATCGGGTGGTCATGTAGTTTATATTTTACAGATGCTGCGTAATATCATTGTACCTGCTTCAGCCATGATACTGCAGCTAAGTGCCTTGATTATTACACCAGAATGTGAGTATAGTTCCTATATAAGCAAAGTCAGTCGGTCTTAGTACACAATATAACTAGAGAAGAGTCACACTTTAAAAAGTTAAATAACTGAAACTCTGGACATTTTGGTCATGCTAATGGTCTACTCTGATTCAATGATGCTATGCTAAGCTAAATGTGCTCATGCCAGACGTGGAGATCACCTAAATGGATTCAAAAATGGTAAAACTCAACTGTGTGACTCAAGAGTAGAAATCAGTAAAGTAAAAGAGTAAAATTGTTCCTTTAAAATGAACTAAATGCATTACGAGTCTTAAAAAAATCGACATGATGCCACAAACAGCTGTTAATCCGTTCAATACACGTATACAAAGTAGACAAACTCACCTCTGAGGTCCAGTAGAGAGGCCCTGAGTAATCTGTCCGTCCCCTGATGGCGCTCTCTTTGACCGCGTACACCGTTCTTTCCACTGCTCCTTGGTCACAGATCTCCAGCGTGGCCAGTTCTCGCATTAGATCTGACTGACTGACCGACCTGCGCTGCCTTGATAGTGGAGACATGCATGTATATCCATTCCTCGAAGGCGAACGACCCCTAGGCCTGTTAATTCGTGGTAGCTGACCTTTAACCTGCAACCTGCTGTAGCTTTCACTATAGCGGCCGACGTGAGGCTCTGAATGCAGCGCCGCTCGCCCACGTTCGGGCTCCTGAGGGAAAAACAGGACCCCTCGGGCTAGGCATGGGCTGGGGCTCAGATAACGGGAGGTGGAGGGTGCATACCTGGAAAGCTGGGGTTGACCTCGCACTATATATGCCAGAGTGGGATCGCAGGGGTCGTAGGAACTGTAAGGGCTCAAGAGGGTGGAGCCAGTTGCGTATTTAGGGGACGAGTAGACTGGAGACATGATCACGATGTGAAGATAAATCAACCCCAAGAGAGACAAACTGTAAAAAGACAAGAAAACAAAGGTCACGAAACACCAAAACACTTTTTTTTTGAGCTGTTGACAGTCATATATGTGTCCCGCGCTGCTAAAAACACTATTAGGACACATACATTTCACATAAAAGTGAAAACTGGTTGCTTTGGCATTATTTCGAGCAAATTAGTTTCTCCGGTTTGAAACTAATTTTTGAAGCTACAACACGGGAATTAAATCCTTGCAAATATTCCAGCGTGTAGACTGGCTGTCTGTAGCGGCGAGTACAACGTGACGCGTTTGAGTGTGCAGCATTAATTCAGGAGAAAGACTTGGTTCAAACCAATCAGTGTGCTCTATTGACCCTTCGCTAAGTCCCCTCCTTAGTTACTGTTGCTACGCCTGTCAAGCTTTCGTGCCTGGCACGTCTATTACAATGTGTATGCGCCAGTGTCAGACATTGCCAGGGAACATGACATTTTTGGCGAACAGGTGAGATATCTGAAAAAGCCAGACAAAAAAGGACTATAGTATGCATTACAAGGGTACTTTCCAACCCAAGCTCATTCTGGAAACGTAGCCCTGCGGACGTTTCTGGAGACCGTGATTTACGTGGCCAGAGGTACGTATGGCCGCGTTTAGTTTTTCTCGAGTGAACGCTGCGGGGCGGTGTGGCGCCGTTCCGCTCCTCCTCTTCGCGCTCGCCGGCCGACGGCTCACCTCCTAGTGGAGGGCTTTCCCGATGCAACCAGTTTGTCTGCTTAGCTCGCAGCGTTACGTCGGCGGAGTGGAGGCCCGGAGGAGCCGGCCGCGGGGACGACCGGGATCGAGTCCGGGGAACAGCGGTTCCAGAAATCAGGTAAGATGAAAAACAGAATCCGAAAAATAAGGGCGAGAATGCGGCGTGATCCGAAAACGCGGTCGAAATCAAAGACGAGGGCTTTTGCTTTTTTTTTTTTTCTGGACAGCTTTTGCAAACCATCACTTGGGTTTATGGAAGGAGGAAGAGGAGGAGTCGATCGGTCGATCATTCGGTCGTTCAGCCAGCCAGTCGGATGGACGGTCGCTCCACAGCAGCCTCCGGCGGCTTTTCGTGCAAGAACAGCGCAGGCGCGAATGGCGCACGCTCCCGAGAGGCGCTCGAGATGCGAAAAAGTGCTCACAGCAGCCTCTCGCGTATCCGCGAAAACAAAAACTGCTCAAATACGTACCTCCCGGGACGTATTTCGCGGTTCGCAGAAACGTCCGCGGGGCTACGTTTCTACATTGAGCCCGGGTTGGTATATTCACTACATAATACGCAACAAATAAAAAATAATTTTATCAAAATTGAAGCTAGGTTAGCCAAGTTGCCTCATACGCTGCCCATTCAACAGCTTAGTTCATGCACAGCAGGAGAGGAGAAAGCGCAGCGCTTTGGCCTGTTTAAAATAACAAAAGAATGACACAGGGAGAAAGCACTGAACTAATGAAATGTATTCAATACTAAATATAAAAGGCTTTTTTGGTGATGGCAGCTTAAAGACGCCTTTAATATGGAGAATGAATTCACATGCATTGCTCAGGTGTGATTTGATCAGACTTCAACAGAGTGTAAACATCTTGATGGTTCTGTGGTTCTCGTCTATCAAATCAGATCTTTAATTTGTATTTTCTATTGGATTCAAGTCAGGTGATTGGTTGGACCATTCTACAGCTTGATTTTCTTTCTCTGAATGCATTTGAGAGTTTCCTTGGTTGTAGATCATTGTCTTGCTGAAATGTCCACCCTGGTTTCATCGTTATCACTCTGATAATGTAGATGTTGAACTGAAGCAGCTATATTAATTTACACTGAGGAAGGGCTGAAGGCTGCTGAAGAACTACTGAGAGATTTCAGCTGCTGTCTGGGCTTTCACTGTCTTTCTACAACTCCCTTTCTTTATGTGTTCAATACTTTTTTCCCTGTGTCATTTCATTTTATTACACAAATTAATTTGTAGACTAATTTGTTTTTTTTCTTTGCATAAATGGATTTCAGCAGAAGTCAACAGCAGTCAACAAATATGCTTTCTAAGAAAAATGGTGATGTGCTCAATACTTATTTCCCCTACAGTATATCATCACAAATTATGTGTAAGACTGTAAAATGGGGAACTTCTTTTTATGTCTTGCTCATGGAAACACAAAGACGACATGATAAACGTGACTTGTCTCATCTTACAGTATCAGTTGTGTCCAAGCAGGACGAAAGTCAACTTGAGTTACTAGCAGGTAACTTACACTGACACTCAAAAGGTTGATGATGAACGGTATAATTCAGAAATATTGTAATTTATTTTGTACATTTTGTTTAAGTGCTAAAGTTGGCAATTTGGCAATGACTAAACCATAAAAATAATGCACTTTCTATAAATAAGTTTTTAAGTATGATGAATACTGTAGAAGCTTTTCCAAACAAATTTTTGGAATACATTTTAACAATACGGACAATGTATGAGGTCATTTTTCAATATGATTTTAAAAATACTTTTTTTTATAGCTTTTTTTTGTTGTTGTTGTAAATCTAACAGTTTTCTGCAGATTTTCCGTAAAACTTTACAAAACATGCCCCTACAAGCTTTGCCTACTATGTTGCAAAAAAAAAATAATAATAATAATTAAATAAATAAATATATATATTTATATATATATATATATATATATATATATATATATATGTGTGTGTGTGTGTGTGTGTGTGTGTGTGTGTGTGTGTGTGTGTGTGTGTGTGTGTGTGTGTGTGTTTTGTAATTTAATTTTTTTTGGGGGGGAATATTTTTGTTGCAATATAAATATATAGGTATTGCAACTATAAAACAATACCTGCAAATGTAGCCCTTCTGTATTACTCTTAAAATTTTAAATCTACCCTCAACCTTATTCCTAACTTCATTAAAATAAAAAAATTTAAATACTTTAAATTAGTTTCAAGTAAGCAATACTAAAAACTTGGTAAAATAAACAAGATGAGTTCCTCTGTTTATGATCTATATTCAATACTAGATGGTAATAATAATATATTTTATTAATGCCAAATAGTACACAATACAAAATATATATTTATATAAAATAAAACAAATTTATTTCCTTCTTTCTTTTTTGAAATCCAAAGTGGAAAGAAAGATGGTGACGATGATGGCGAAAACTGAGATAACGACATCTGAAAAAGTAAAAACATGATGGTAAAGATGAAAGTGAGGATAAGACAGCAATTGACTCAGAATTACAATACTTTAAAAACAAGGAAAAACCAAACAGGATTTCTACCAACTACAGTAAGATCTATATATAAAACTATGATTTCAAATGGCTATGATCAGATTTGTACTAAATAAAGGCCCTGTTTAAGTAAAATACCAGAGTCTATGCCAAAAAAACACAAAAGTGAAAGCAGAAGATGATGAAGATTAATAACTCAGGCAATAATTATACAAATGAATATGATGCTGACCAGGAAGAAAATGACCAACATAATGACAATGACTGACTGCAAAAAGCTGAAGTACAACGAGAATATGATGATGACGATGATGATGACGCTGATGATGATGACGACGACGACGAAGAGGAGATTTTTAAGAGGAGTCTTTGTAATGATGTTAAATTTATGTGAGGGAAACGATTCAGGAGAATGGATGAATGCGCATTAGCTAAAGTCAGAGTAATTAAGTAATGCACTGCTACCTAAAGCGCAGTAATCTGAGCGTGAGTCAAACAGAGACTGTTACTGTAGGATACAGCAGTTACTATAAACACCCACTCATTAACGCTGACTGTGGGAAAACTGCCATCGATAAACAGCGGTGGTCTCGTTAAATTGCAAAAACGACGTAATCTTGAATAGAAACGGGAGTTAATAGTGAACTAAACTGGTGTGGCTAAGTTATGTCACATGTTTAATCCTGCGCTAGAGCCTCCTCAAATAACGCTTAAAATCCTTACCAGCGGAATTCCAGTTCATCCTCCCAAGTGGCCAGCCAAGTATTCCTGGATTCCCTGATAAAACGCGCACTATATTTCAGGATAGAGCAGAAAAATGTTTGGAGACGGGCTCGGATTTAAGCACTCGGTAGGCTGCTTGGAGTGACAGCATACCAGCACTGACTCCTGCTCAGATATTTGTGCTTTTCTCAAGTCAGGATTTAAGGAACCGCCTCCCAAGCGGTTGCCAAGCAACGCGGCTCGTTCCCTCACGCGCGCGCGCTCTCTCTATCTTCGGCTTGGTGCAGAAGCCATGATGACTAACGGCACTATGAATAGAAGCAGAATTTATGTGAAATGCTGACTTTATTCTCAAATAAATCCCATTGAATTAAAAACAAACAAACAAAGAACCGAACGAACAAACAATCCCTAGAATAAGAAGTTCCAGAATGAATGGGCATCACCAGAAGCAGGTGACTGTACTAGGAAAAACAGTAGCCTATGGTTCAGTTGTGTGGTGTTCACGAGTGATCAGAAACATATCAAGTCAAGTGTGGGTGATATTACCAAACTCAATTGCAAATGGCTCTACAATTCACTTTAAATGTCAGTGATTCATACCGTACAATGAGTATTTTTTGTACAGGGACAAAATGGTCACATCTATCAAACATGGCCTACTACAGCTTAAATAAGTGATGCTTTTAAAGACATGGTTCAGCCCAAAATGAATTTTGCTCAAATATGGATGTTGACTTACCATTCACCATTTTCTAACAACTTTTGAGTTGATCCAAGCCTTTTCATTTTCATTTTTCAGTCTGACCCAAAGGAAGATGCTTTCAAAATGTTGTTTACACTACCCATTGATTGACATATTAGGCTGAAGAACTATGGATGTCAATGGGTACAGATTATTAACATTTTCCAAAGTAGCTTATTTTGCGTTCAACCAAGGAAAGAAACACAGAGGATTGGAATAACTCGAAGACACAAAAGAATCAGAAAAGAAGATATTTTGAAGAGTGTTAGTAGAAAGTATACTCATTGACTTCAATTGTAGTTTTTTTTTTTTTTCTACAGTGACAGTGGATGCAAAATAAAAACACTTAAAAACAGTGTGTTGGTAACAAACACTGCTCACTAATTTGTATTCACAGACAGGGCCTTAAATTAACATTGGTTAATAGCCAAAAACTTGAGAGCATTTATTCTGTACATTGTTTCATAAAAATTTTTTTTAGGAAGAGCATGTCTAAGTGCATTTATTATTATAGTTGTTATTATTGTTATATCACATAACTAACAATTATTTATTTTTCTATCCTTCAAATGTTAAAGGAACACTTGAGTGTTTTTGGAAACAGGCTAATGTTACAACTCCTTTAGAGTTAAACAGTTCGGTTTGACCATTTTTTAATCCATTCAGCAAATATTTGCATTTGGCAGGAACACTTTTAGCTTAGCTTAGCATAGATCATATTAGGCCATAAGCATCTTGCTAAAGAAATGACTAAAGAGTTTCAATGATTTTCCCTTTAAAAACGTGAATCTTCTGTAGTTACATCATAAGATAAATGTAAAATTAAAAGTTGCTATTTTCTAGCCCAATATGTATAGGAAGTTTACTCTTATTTTGGAACTTTGATGCCGTACCATGGCTGCTGGAGGCGCAATGATTTAATTTGATTCAATGATTTATGCTACAAGTGGAGGAGATCGGCTGAACTGTTTAACACCAGGAGAATGTAAAAATTACCCTTTTTTAAAGTGGAGTGTTCCTTTGAATTTTAGAACTATTATAATATAAAAAACAAGACAGAAACAATCAATTTTATTTATTTTTTCTATCCTTCAAATTTTAAAGGAACACTCTTTTGGGCAATAGGCTAATTTTATAACTCCTTTAGAGTTAAGCGGTTCAGTTTGACTATTTTTGAATCCATTGAGCAAATAATTGCATCTGGCAGGAGCACGTTTAGCTTAGCTTAGCATAGATCATTGAATCAAAATAAACCATTAGCATTTTGCTAAAAAATGAATAAAGAGTTTGGATAATTTTCCCTTTTAAAGCGTGAATATTTTGTAGTTATAACCCCGCCAGTCCTACACCATCCAGCCCGCTCCGAGCTGGGATCAAACCCTCCGGATGGTAGTCAGTCGGTTGCTCTAACAAGGAGGCTAAAGATCATGGCCTCTAGCGCCTGTCACTTTTTAGATGTCAGAGGAGAGAGGTTTACCTTTACAGCACTAGTTGTCCCCTGCTACAGTTACATCATAAGACAAACATAAAATTAAAAGTTGCTACATATAGGAACTATGTCTCATTTTGGCATCAAGGAACTTTGATGCCGTACCATGGCTGAAGCAGGAGCAATGATTTAATTCGATTCAATGATTTATGCTAAGCTATGAAAAAAAAAAGTGCTCCCACCAGACCAGGAGATCGCTGTATTGTTTAACACCAGGAGAGTGTTAAAATGACCCTTTATTTAAAAAGTGGAGTGTTCTTTTGAATCTTAGAGCTATTATAATTGTAGAAAACAAGAGAGAAACAATTAATTTTATTTATTTTTCTATCCTTCAAATGTTAAAGGAACACTCCACTGTTTTTGGAAAAAGGCTAATTTTACAACTCCCTTAGAGATGAACGGTTCAGTTTGACAGTTTTTTAATTCAATCAGCAGATATTTGTAGAGGGGTCTGGATGCAGACCTGGTGCAGTGCAATCTGAGCTGCATCCAGTGTTGTTTAATAAGCTCACCTAACCCTACCCATACCCCTAACCCTACCCGTCACAGTGAAATCACTCACTCCATTGAGCGCATTGTGTCTGACATTGCATCACTGAGTGATGCAATCTCAGCTTGCATGATAAAGGCTGCATCCAGATACTATTGGATATCTGTGTCTGGAGGGAGCACTTTTAGCTTAGCTTAGCATAGATCATTGAATCGGATTAGACCCTTAGCATCTTGCTAAAGAAATGACTAAAGAGTTTTGATAATTTTCCCTTTTAAAGCTTGAATCTTCTGTAGTTACATCATAAGACAAACACAATTAAAAGTTGCTAATTTGAAATCCAATATGTATAGGAACTTTTATTTTGGAACTTTGATGTCGTACCATGGCTGCAGCAGACGCAATGATTTAATTTGATTCAATGATTTATAATAAGCTGCGCTAAAAGTGCTCCCACCAGTCCAGGAGATCGGCTGAACTGTTTAAAACTGTTAAAAATTACCCTAAAGTGGTGTTCTTTTAAATCTTAGACCTATTATAATTATCGAAAACAGGAGAGAATTTTATTTATTTTTCTATCCTTCAAATGTTAAAGGAACCCTCCACTTTATTTTGGAATCTAATTTTACAACTCCTTTAGAGTTAAACGGTTCGGTTTGACCATTTTTGAAGCCATTCATCAGATATTTGCATCTGGCGGGAGCACTTTTAGCTTAGCTTAGCATAGATTATTGAATCGGATTAGACCATTAGCATTTTGCTAAAAAACGACTAAAAAGTTTTGATAATTTTCCATTTTTAATTTGAATCTTTTGTAGTTACATCATAAGACAAACAAAATAAAATAAAAGTTGCTATTTTCTAGTCCAATGTGTATATGAACAATATCTTAAAAAGTGATTAGATTGCCTTACTTTTAAAAAATTGAGTAAACCCCATTGCTTTTAAAGTGATTTGTTGACTTTACGTTAAAAAATTGTAAGCAAATCCATTGCCTCAAATGATTAAGTAAATTAGTTCTATGCATAATTTATATTAAAAAAATAAAGTTAAGTCAATAGGGCCATTCTAAGGTACAACAGATTAAGGGTGCTTTCACACCCAGTTTCGGAACCAGTCTCGTTTGCCCGGTTAGCGCGGTTCGTTTGGCATATGTGAAACCAACAATCGCTCTAGGATCCGCCCCAAATCAATCGCTCAGAGATCCCTTGAATGAGGTTGTCTCGGATCGATTGAAACGAACTCTGGAGCGCATCAATTGCAGTGAGAAAGCGATACAATCCGAGCGCAGTTATATCACAGTGTTTTTAGAATATGTAATAGGCTTACGGATACATGAAGAGAGAATTATGAGTAGGGCAGGAAGTTTCGGGCAGGAAGTTCCCGGATGCCCGCAAACGAGTGATAATCACCCGTCTCCCTCTCGGTCCTCAAATACGTTGTGCACCCTTCTCACCCCTCCCCACCGCATCTTTCCTCGCTCTTCAGACACGTTGCGTGCACCTTGTCAAACACCACCAAACCACCACCCCCCCTGACAGCTGAGCTGGACTCTGCAAAATAAACCCTGACACTTTGACCAATGTGCGGAGAGTTTACTCACACATAACTTGTTTTAGCTCTTTTGGTCCGTTTACAAACTTTGCAGTGTGAAAGCAAACCACACCAAGAACAAAGAGAAACAATGTAACAATTTTAATCCCTGTTTCAGTACAACTGAAACGATTCACAGGTGTGAAAGCACCCTTACTCACTTTTTATAGTAATAAGTCAACTTGATGCTTTTAGGGTAATGGGTTTACTCACTTTACCACCAGACCAGATGATCGGCTGTTTAACACTTGAAGAGCGTTCCTTTGAATCTTGGAGCTATTGTAGTTATAGAAAACACAGAGAAACAATCCATTTTTGTTGACTAGGAAAGATGTTTGGCGCATGGTGCATTTTCACGACTCCCAGCACTTGCAGAGATGAAGATTGTGTTGAGCAACATTTATTAAAACACTGTTTTCATGAGCTGCTCACATCAACAGATTACAGTACTGTGCTTCAGATATTTATATAATCCATATGTATTTATATAATTACAATGCAGTCGCTGCAATTACCATGCTAAATCATGTCACATTCTCAGTTATAATGTTAGAAGTAATAAAAAAAAAAAAGATTGTAAAAAACAATTCAACCGGCAAGTAACTCTATTTCATATACTCACCAACACAGATTTTTACTTGCATTTGGTGCCTGTCGGGTGTTAATTTAAAACCCTGTCCACGGGAAAACAAAGTAATACAAATGTTGATTGGCATTTTGATCTCAGCAATACTTTAGTATGGCAAACAAAAGGGGGACTTTAAATAAGAAACAAAATGGCAGATTGAGAATTACATTTCATCAAATCAACTAGATAAAACGAAACCACAAAAAACATAACTGGTGTTGAGAATTATCATCCATTCTTGCAACACGTGCTCTCACGCTTCGGTGATTCTCAGGAAAATTCATCATCTAATAAGTAACACTTGCTAATCTGTCATTAGTGGCCGTGGAATATTCAGTAGCCGTCTCGCTATCACTACATTTCAAAGTGACGGTTTTTGGTTTCTGGCATTTCGATTTTGTGCCAAAGAAAACAGTTGTGTGCTTTCAGGGTGTCAGGTTATTATGTTGGACCGAGGCACGTTGTTTTACGTCTGAGATATCCAGCTGGTGAAGGATCACTTGGATGTATTTGATCACAGTTTTCACTTGGATGAAGAGATCTGCACAGAGGTGGTCT